TAGTGTCATGCGAAGGTCAAAACCAACCCTCTGGCCTACACTGACTAATACAGTGGATTTTTTTACTATCCTATGGGAATTCTAACCTTATCTCTACGCTCACACTGAACCGAATAAGTAGAAATGGTTGTACTTATCTCTATCTCTGGTGAAGCAGTATCCGGTATCAGTTCGCAGATACGGATTGATGCAAAGCGGGCGTGTGGTTCATTTACTCACCAGTTCCTATTACAGCCTAGTCTTCAGGTTTGTTATTCTCTGTTCATGTACAAACTCTATCAATCGGTGGTCGAAAGGTCCTGTACCCAAAAGTGGAGCACCTGGCATCTGGTCAGTTTTCAACTGGATATTCTCAGTTCTCGGAGAGCGTGGAATGAAAGACAACTGTCAATTCCCTGCACACCGTTCTTCTTATACAGCAATATAATCGGGGTGGAACCATGGACTGAAAAAAATGACGAGCAGGCGAAGGTAAAGGGCCAAGAACCTGCGAAAAAGCCATTGTCCTGCACGGTACTGGACGGGCATTTTTGGACGAGTTGCTCGTTGGCATAGTGCTACAACCACCTTGGTAGACGTCCGAGGGCGGTCCTTGCTCCAAGTAGGGTGGGGCAGCTGCAGCAGCAAGCCATTTTCTCCGCTGGCATAGTGCTACAACCACCTTGGTGGACCTCCGAGGGCGGTCCTTGCCCCAAGAAAGCACGGGGACGGGGCAGTAGGTAGTGGTGACCGAGTGAACTGCTCGCGCTAGCCTCAGGCGCAGCACTGTTGCAGATTAAGTTCCCACAGCGAGATCATCTACTGAGATCAACCAGAACTGAGAGGGCACAGACAAGTAGCACAGTTGGATGCGGCTAGGCGTGTGGCTGACCGTGTGGCAGCGCGGGAGGAGATGGAGACGGCTCTCGGGTATCACTACCCTTCAGTCCCGTTCCTGTGTACTTTTGTCCAGAGACAATGGCACAGTCCCGCAGTTGCTTATCCATTTTCCCCAGACACAACTAGAACAAGGATCCACGGAAGTAAGTGTACAGTTTGACTGTAATGGTAGCCCTGACTGCGCTCGGACAACAAGCGAGAGCCTTTGCTTAAAGCAGCCGTAGAAACCTCTTTTCAGGACTGCCATCTCTATGAGTATCTATGTTCTACCCGTTTCAAAACCTCAGATTCGACGTTTATATTTCAGAAATCTTTCAACAACGGACATAGTTGTTAAGGTTAATCTTGTCTTGAATAGTAGAACAGTACAAGAAGAAAAAGTTCTCCGGGAAAAGCCACGATCTTGCCCCATACTTAATCGTTCGATTCCAGTTAATAAGTACGAAGCCGAAAGTTCTTGAGCTGGCAAGAAATCGTCTTCGTCTAGAACCTCAATCGTACCTTTTCATCGAAGCTAAATTCTTGTACACTAATCTCGGCGCCTTTGATGTGAGTTTTGCGAGAACGGAAAGGAAAGGAGGTTATCTTGAAAGCAGTATCTCTTTTTTCAGTACATTCCTCCCAAGCTAATCGGATATGCAATGCCTGTTTATTCCCACACTTTACCAATTATAGGGTGAGTCATAGGCTATGAAGAAAGTTCTTGCGGTTTTCGGTCCCACAATCAGAGCCGAAATGTGCATAACATGGTTTGAATCAAACTTCATCGACTGAAGTAACGACCATCATATCATAGCACTTCTGTAAACGAGAAATAAGTCGTTTATTCTGCTTACGTAGGAGTTTGGAGATCTGTAGGCGATGAAATAAACTCCATATCTTGAAAATTGATAGGGCGTAGCTTGGTGTAACACTAGAACTGGATGGTTTTACGGGTGTTCCGCACTGTTCACTTTTACATTGTTGTTCAAAACAGGAAGGTACATATAAAACCACCACGGCGGCCAAGCAAACGAAGTAAGCGGGAGAGTGGGGGGACTAGGCCTGGTGAATATCGTGAATGCGAGAAACCTAGGCTAGCTCAATCAATTTTTTCAGGGTAAATAGTGCAACGTGAGCCCGAGCGTAGTCGTGGGTGAAATCGGCCCCTCCGACCAGTGCTGGGCTCATGAGTTGAATTTTTGGTGCATTTCGTCAAATTTTTGATAGTGCTTTTCAGCTGTAATAGTCTCGCTCGTTTCCACAAGACTGTTGTAGATCAGACCAGCCACAAGCCTTCTCTCCACGCTGCTTCAGTTTCAGCAATGTTGGAGAGCGCGATTTTTGTCAAGCTAGTGACCAGCTGACGCCGAACATAGCCCATTTCTGACCGCACGTCACAATACGACCTAGAAATGAGGGGAGACGGGCAAGACAATCGTGACTTGTCGCGATGTCGCGCGCGGCGTATTGTGCGGCGGCTCGAGGAAAATGCTCAAGCGCGTTAGTTTTTGGCTGAAGCAGCAAAATTTGCACGAATTCAAGCGGAGAAAAGAATACCTGACGGAATACATAGAATTTCCGCATTTCCCTAACAATCAGACTCACAAGACTAGAACAGGACAACTCGTCTGCGGTGCGCGGCGTCGCTTGCCACACCCACCAGAGCGGCATATTACGATTCTCTTGTCACATACCTGGTCGCAAGTTTCCACCAATTTGACTTTCATGGGATGCTTTTTTCATCTCAATGAAGTCTTTCACAGTAAGTGGCTGAATACCGAAGGAATGGAAACGAGTAGACAACTGGCTTTTGAAATGCAGGTCTTGTTCAGCAGTACTGTGTTCTCAGCTCGAGATGTGAGTCTTTCTTTAAATTCTCATATCCCCTGGGGCTGGTAACCTGCACCATACCTCTTACTAGTTGGCGAAAGTGAAGCAGTGGCAGATGGCGGTGCTACCTTCCGCGTTACCTGTAGATTGAATTTTGGACCGGACCTCTGTGAGGCGCATTAGAACGAATAAGTAAAATACTGATGCTGCATTCATACTCTTGCGGCAGCCGTCCACACAGCGAACTAACCAGTGACCATAGCGTATGCGAGCTTACCGCAATCTAGGTCAGCGCTCACAATCCACTCGACTGGGACTAGGAAAAAGTGGGTTCTGATCTCTACCAGCGTCCGACGCCAGCCACACTTGCGACAAGGTACAAGAGATTAACTTGGGGAGGTAGGGTGAGGCAGACTAGGTAGAGGTATTTGAAGGCGGAGCGAGAGGTAGCTGGGCTAGGCGCGTGGTGGCAGCCACACAGCACGTCCTCGCTGGATGCTAGCAAGACGCTGGATGGGAACGAGTGTACGCTGGTAGAAGACTCTTTTCCACACTTTGGTAGTCCCTTAAGACGCTGATGGTCGCTGGCGGACGCTAGTGGACGCTGTTTGATGCTGCCGTTCGCTAGATGGATATCTATACTTTCGTCGTTGACGCTGACGGACGCTTGAAACGCTGATGGTCGCTAGTAGATGCTACCACAAGAATGCAGCCTGATTCGATTTTGAGGATAAAACCTCTGGCTTGTATGCCCTGCAAGTGATGACAGAGGCTAGAATTCCATTTAAAACCACTGTGATTAGGTCTTTCTCGAATGCGTGGCCTACCTAGTGAAGGACTCTGTTTCTCTATCTTCTTTCAGGCGTATTTTGTTGCGAGGTTTTTCAGATAATAATCGACCTACCAGGAACAGCATGCCTTGTGGAATCTGTTTCACGACCAGTTCCATCATCGAATGGCGACTCTCCTGTCGATGAAGCTGACGCAGGTTCGCAGAAATCTACCCCTCCTTAGAGTGAAAGGTACCATATGGTTCTCAAGGAAGGCTCACTCTCAGGAGAACGAGAAAGAAATGAGAGAAGGGGAGAAAAGCACAGTTACAAAATTATTATCTGTAGATGTATGAGGGAGTTTTCTCGATTTTACTATTCACCACCCTTGCGCTGGGTTTTGAAGACACATTTCACGATCTATAGTGATTGCGAACTTTAGGTAATACTCAAGTTAGTAGTAACGGACTCCAAGAACCCTCTTATGACCATAATCTAGAGGCCGTCTTGAATGCTATATCCCTCCGTCAGGGGAGACGGATGAGTGGCGTAACGGCAAAATAGCAAAATCTGCTATCAATCGCCATCAGAGATAATAGACCACGGGTTCGGCGACAAGGTACTGAGTAAGTCGATAGTAAAGAAAAAAGCAGAAAAAGCATGCCACTGCCCTAGATAGAACCCCATTTTGATCCCAGTTTGTACGTGCCCAGTTAACTCCATCTCCAACACTACGCCCCATCCGCACAGCTGATTCCCCGATAAGAACTCTACGACCGTACAAGTGACGATTTTCATGCTTTTTCGTCCTGCAGCTTCGTTTTTCACTGAAAGGCGGGCCTTGAAGGCGGAGTCTGGAGGCGGAGTCACTGGAAAAAGGAGGCGTCACTGAACCTATATTGCGCTATAGCGCCCCTCCTACAATTTTTGCCGCGAAACCGGTACAATGTTGTTCGTCGCAGGACGCCCTCCCAAGCCAGATTTTTAAGTTTTACACCTGATCGTGGACCGTGCCTTTGAAGGATTTTCCGAACTTAACCTCAACTTCCAGATACGAAAACTGCTGTGACGTTCTGCATGAACAAGGACGTAGTCTGTAACATCAGAGAAGAAAAAGGAACTAAAGCTAATAACAGGTATTGCAGATCTGCTTTTGATTACAGCTTCTTACGGTTGGCAGCACCTATGCTCTTTGTTCACAACTTACTTTCACACCTCACCTTGAACTGCAATCATACTATTTCTTAAAGATTGTGATAAATGGCTAGCATCCAGCTAGCGCCGACACCTATATCACCCAGGCAGCATTCAGACTTCGCGACAGCAGCGCTTCTGCGCGCGTTCGACGCGATCGATGAAGTCGAAAGCATGGACATAAATCGCGTCGAAGACGCGGTCAGAGCGCTGCCGTCACGAATTCTGAACGCTGCCCCAGGTGTAGGCGCTTAGCTGGACGCTGAGGAGATTCGTGTTCACGAAATTTTTGTTGTTGGCTTCTCCATTCAGAAGTGTATCATCTTCCTCTACTCCCACCCCAACCGAGAGCAAGATTTTGGGGAAAATCCGGGTAGATAACCAATATTTCGAGAAAGTAGCGCGTAGTTTACCTGAGACTCTTCTCCCAGGAATGTTTTACTGACCGCAATGTTACTGAACCGTCAGAAAAGAATCAAGCGTAG